CCGGTCTCCATGTTCCCCACTTACCTGTGGGCTTTGCTCACCTGTCCCCGTCGAACCTAGTTTAAAGCCCTTCTCACTAGGGAGTAGCTGAGATACATAAATAAGAAGAGTAAGGCTCTAGTTATAACTGTGTTAGATTTGAATATGTTCAAACAAGATTATACAATTCACAGTACAATATCACTATACGACTACAGTACCATAAGAGAACAGAAGCAATAATGTGTGTTTATCCTGTGTCTATCAAAAGCATTTTTCAGCTGTCCTCAGCATAATCTGGGAGAAAGGAAAGGAATAACATGAAAACAGAAGTTCACTGTTGTAATCATAACAATAAAACTCTATCATTTGCTATATCGAAGTCATAAATGTCTTGTATATTAAAGGTAGACAAGAGGTAACAGTAGGGAATAGTTCTCTTTACCTTCTCCAACTATCAAAACACATTCACCACAGTACAAGCATGAATACAAAACCTGAACGAAATACTCCCCTCTCTCGTAATGTAAATTATAATGGAGTTTGCCGCAGGCTTTGGAATATCTCACTAGAGCCAAGAGTCTGACCTACGATAGTACAGGATATGAAACTCAATTCCAAAACAAAAGTGTTTATTCATTGAACCTTAGGGGATATAAATGTCCCTGATCTGATCTAATCAATCAATCAATGGCTCCTTCATCGGAAAGCTCAATTCTAGCTGTTTCTTCTTCCAACTACTCCAATAATTTCTTGGCTGACTTGCCTCCCCACTGATTTATTTTATTTGCACATGGCCCATTACTCTGACAGAGTTAAAATAAGCCTCCTACTTGGGCAAAGTGTTTAGTTAAAGGAAGAAGCCCACACTGCCAAGCCTGTCACTGGCTTGACATTGTGAAAATGGAGATTCAGCTTCCATTGCAAATCAAGTCTGGTGACTCCTTTGTCACTAAAATGGTTACTTACCTGTACAGTGCCTGATGTTCTTCAAGATGTGTGGTGCACAAATGCAGTCCACTGTAGACAGATGAGTGCACTAGGCACACCTACAATTGCTGAAGTAGCAGGGAAGGTGAGAGGGGTGTGGAATGTATATTTGACCAAACACATCTAGAAGAATAGGTACAAAGCATTGTACAGGTAAGTAACCATTTTTTCCTCCTTTGAGTGGCTGTGCACCTACTCATTCCACCATAAGTGATTCACCAGCACTTTCCTTACAGATGGTGGAACTTCAGACTACTTGGAGATGGCCAAAGTTGGCATTGTCTCAGAAAGCCTAAGTAATGGCACAGTGTGTGGAGAAAGTATATATAGCGATGACCACATTGCTGCTTTGCAAGTGACCACCACACGAATGTTACTCCAAAAAGGCTAGCCAAGTGGAATGAGCCTTAGCGTAGTAGACTGTTATCCTCAGTAGAGGCGAGACCTTCACTAGATCGTAGCAAAGCTTGATGCAGTCAGAAACCCAATGTGAAATTTGCTGGACTGTAACAGGTAACCCTTTAATCCTCTTAGCATAGGCTACAAAAAGTCTAAGACAGGATCCGAAAGACTTTTTGCAGTCCAGGTAAAGTGTCAGAGCTCTCCGAACATCCAAGGAATTAAGCTTTTCTTTAACCTTGGTAGAATGAGATTTCGAAAAGAACACTGGAAGATGAATGATCGAGTTGAGGTGGAATGCAGAGACCACCTTAGGCAAAATCTTAAGGTGTGGCCAAAGCAAGGCTTTGTTTTTGTGAAATACTGTGAAAACAGGGCCCGCTAGAAGTGCCCGGGGCTTTGACACCCTCTTTGCGGGGATAATTTCTACCAGAAAGACTGTTTTAATTGATGGCAGTGGCAGGGATGTTGTTGCCAAGGGCTCAAAAAGGTGGAACCCATCGAACAAGATAATACCAAATTCAGGTCCCATAAAGATACCGGATAAGACATAGAGTAACACATGAATAAGGATTACTAAGTAAATCAATCAATCTAGAAACCAATGGGGTAATGAAATGCTGTTACCAAAATGTTGTAATTACTGTGGGAATACAGGGAAGCAGGACTTTGCTTAAACTGTTCCAAACGAGGGGAGTCACCTTCAGTGAAAGGATATTGTTAAGCCAGGGGGTTGAATGCCAGAGCCATGTGAAAGTAAGAGGGGTGGAGATAGGAATCCCCAGCCAGGAGGCTGCACACCCTCATCAAGGGACTCTCCCTAGACTGATTTAAGCTGTTCCTCCCCTCTGTTCAAAGAATAGAGCTAAACAGGCTTCATTAGGAGCCTCTTTGTTATATTAAATACCAAATCAGAGCTGAAATCAGTTGTGGTAGGACTATGTTTCTGCCTGCTAAGAGCTAAAAATAACTGAGAGCTGAAATCACTTGAGATGGGGCAATGTTTCTGCCTGGCCTGCAAAGAGCTGAAAATTACTGAAACTGATGTACAGATGTCACAGCAGAGAGGCAGGTGGCAGCAGAAGGTGACTGACAGTCAGCTGGTGAACAAGTGGCTGGTGCGGCGGAGAGATGTGATGAATGACCAGCAGGGCGGCTGGTGGAGAGGCGCGGTGAGCAGGCGGGCAGCAGTGGAGAGCTGCGACAAGCAGCCAGCTGGGCAGCTGATGGCGTGGCGAGAGCAGGCGGCCAGCAGGGCCGCTGATGGAGAGGCATGGTGAGAGCAGTGAGCAGGGTGGCCGGCAGAAAGGGGCAGCAAGCGAGTCCCCGAGCAGTGGAGCGAGTAAGGTACCTCTTTACCCCACCCAGGGGGGAAGTGAACTCTGCAGATGCACCTCTGAACTCTGGGTCTGCACTGATGAAGGACAGCAACTATGAGTGGGGTGCAGAGAAGGGTTGAGCACATGGGTTGTTGGACTTAAACTGAGAGGAAAAGGACACTGCCGAACCTTCTTGGGGGGGTGTCTTTTACTCATGGTTTATGTTTATGAACTCTGTTTGTGGTATTTCCCCAAATTAACACCCAGTTACTTCCCTCCTTTTATTAAAAGTTTATTTTCTACACTCAGACTCTATGCTTGCGAGTGGGAAAGTATTGCCTCTCAGAGGCACCCAGGGGTGGTGTGTAATTTTCCCAGGTTACTGGATGGGGGATCAAGCCGGTTCTCTGTTGTATCAATGGAAAGGAATCCCTAGATATTGAACCCAGCCCTGGTTGCTGCTGGCTCAACCTGGCAGAAGGGTTACATAGCCACTGAACGTGATGCATCGCTCCTTGGAGGGACATGCAAGCAGTGAGATAACCTTCTGATATGATGGCCAAAAACTGTTCCCTGTATTCCTGAGCCACTTTGTTCACAAATTTTGAAATTGCTGTCCCGTTAATAAGGTGTATTTGGACAACAAGGCCTAATTTGACACCCTCATTTGAAGGTTCATAGAGGTCCAGTCTCGTATTCCTTATTTTTTGGGGGGATAGCCTTAGGGTGAGGCTGTGTCAGATGCTTGTTTGCCACTGTGTAAAGAAATACTTGAATTTTGGCTAGGGGACTTAGTATCATCCATCCACCCATTTGACAGTGAGAGGTACAGAGGCTGATGTCTGCCAGAGGGTCTCTGGGTGATCCAACAAGGCTTCATTAGTGGAAAGGGCAATGCTTTGTGGAGTGGGAATTTGAGAGACATCCAACAGTTTGTGCAGATTGTCTTGTATGAGTGTTGCCTGTAGCCCCAGAGATGTGGCCAGTCTCCTAATGAGGTCCTGAAAAACTTGAAAGTCCTCCAAGAGGAGGTGATGTCGACTCCGGAGAAAAGGAAGACATACTGGGGTGGTGGAGGGCAGGAATATCCTCAGTCTCCTCTGGCTCTGTAGGCTCCAATAGACCCGTTGGTTGTGGGTTTGGAAGAGGATTGTCTCTAGGCACTATTAAGGTACATGAGGAGGTGACTCTCTTTTGATTGAGTGGCCAATAGAGACCTAGATAGTCTTGAAGCCAGACAAGGAGGACCATCCAGTCTTTGACCTGCCCACAGTGGATGGCACCATCCTGGGACATCTTTATAATAATGTTCTTGCTCTAATTTGGGTATCTCTACAACGTTGTCTGTATGGAGTCCTGAAAGACATTCCCGGAGGAATGGGTCTCTCATGGTTGAGTCTGAAGAGGAGGAAACACAAAAAAACTCTTCAGTAAATGGTGGAGTGATCCCCATAGGCATCGGTGGAAGGTCTCAGCACCAGCAACATACTGTGTTGTCCCAAAGGTAGCACACTCAAAGATGTATCCAACGGTGCTGGTGGACAAGGCGGTCAGAATGCAGGACAGGTGAGTCAGTGTTGACAGTGCAGCACCCATAGACAAAGTGGATGGAACTGCCACAACCATGGTGGTAAGTGAAGTTGCTGGTGCTGGCAGTGCAGATGAAGCTGAAGGCACTAAGGTCGGCACCAGCTCATGTAACAAGGAAAGTCCAGGAGAGAGAGAGAGACAAAAAGATAGTTGAAGAATGCCTGCAACATCGACAGCATCAATATCAGAGGTGAGTGCTAAGCTGCTAACACTGGGGGTGCCAGACCCAACAGCAGTGGGCTTAAAGATCTCTCTGGTAGGCAGAAGGCATTGGTCTTTGACTCTGGCACCAGCAGGGCCATCAATGATGCTGGGGAGTGTTGGTGCTTATGACCAGACTTCAAATTTCAGAGACTTTCTGTGAGAAGAAGAATGAGATTGTGAAGGTTGGTCCGTCTCGGAGGATGAGAGGAGGATTTTGAACAGTCTGAGGAGGCCACAGAAAATGACGAGTAATGTTTCTCACCAGATTTTGGCTTGGAAGCAGAGGCTGCCAGTGGGGCACTCCTCACGGACGAACGCTCTGTCCTCTCAGGGTCAGAGCTGGGCTCTGATGAGAGATGCATCACCTTTAGCAGAAGATTTACTTTAAGGCAGAAATCCCTTTGTTTCTTTGTTCTGGTTGGGAAGGAGGTACAAAGAAGCCATTTGTGCGTCACATTTGTTGCCTAAGCAGATAGGACAACTTTTGTCTGGCACTAGCCAGGATCATGGGCATGCGCATGGCACGTTGTTTGAAATCTGGGGATCTTTGCCCAGTTAATTGATCTGGTATTTACTAACACTAAATATATATAATACAAGAATTCCTCTAAAAGGCTGGCTAACTGAAGATCAGGGGTAACAGGGAACTCTGACTCCCGCCATGAGTGGTAAGAAGAAATGGAGAGGGAGGTGGCTATCATGTCCTTTATACCCTCCGCTCAGGGCAGGAGGATAGTGGGGGATATGTGCACTGCCTGCTGGAATGGGTGGCAAAAGTCTGTCTCAAGTACATTGGGCATGCACACACTTAGGGCTGGTGTTCACTATAGGGAGATCGACACTGCTGCAATCGATGCAGCAGGGGGCGATTTAGTGGGTCTAGTGAAGACCCGCTAAATCGACTGCAGAGCGCTCTCCGGCCGACCCCGGTACTCCATCTCCCCAAGAAGATTAAGGTAAGACAACAGGAGAGCGTCTCCCATTGACGCAGCACAGTGAAGACACCGGGGTATGTTGACCTAAACTACGTTGACTCCAGCTACCTTATTCACGTAGCTGGAGTAGCATAACTTAGATCGACTTACCCCGGTAGTAAAGACAAGCTCTTACAGTGGAATGTATGTGCACCCAGTCACTTGAAGGAGAAATCATCCTCTTTCTCCTTGCTATCAGAAACCTGGAAAATGCGTATTTCTGGTCCTTCTCACTATCCTTAACAGGATCCAAAAAGATTCTTCAATATATACTGGTAATCTTCTGTGTAATGTTTTAAAATATTTTGAAATGCCCTTCCCACTCAAGAAATTGGATTGTGCTTTGACATACCTTCAAAACATGCTCCTACAACATGAGAAGGAAAGATTAGGGAAAATAGCTTCTCCCTGAGAACTTAAATAAGATAAAGGTTGCTTGATAAAAATGTAATCCATTTTGTAAAATTTTCCCTCAAAGTCAGTTACCCTTTTTACAGCTGACTTTTGGGCCTGCTACTTGTCGGCTGGCTCCACCTTTAATGAGGACCTTAGTTCATAGATAATTTTGCAGAAAACACAATTCAATGTTTTCCATAAAATTGGGCACTTCCAACTTTTTGGCTGCATTTTTACCTATGTGAGAGCAGGGCCCCAGGAACTGCTAGTAGCGGAGGCTTTGATCCTAATTCTAGAAATGTGACTAATGTCTAAACCTAGTTGTGCTAATTTTTGTCTCTGACTTCGCAGGCAGATGGAGTTCACCATGGATCAAATTAACACTTCTTTCCCCCTTCTCTGCCATAACAACCAGGCTCACTCCCCATTACACAGAGCTACAGACCCACCAGGGAGAAGACAGAGACACCCAGGAGCCTCCAACCATGGCGATGGAAAGGGGTGAATACTCACTGAGACACCAACCTCTTTCTACAAAATTAGCACTTTTCCTCTAAGAAGTTGCCTAATTTTTTTCCATCTCCCTCTCCTGTCAAGTAGGGACCTAATTTTGATCTAACTGGATCTGCCCTTGGTGGTAGAATGCCTAGTGGTAGCTTGCCTCCCTGTCCTTGCTTCAATTCATATAGGGTTGATTTGTGAAGCTCATGGTTTTCTGGAATCAGATTAACAATCAAAAGGAGATGCTGACAAAATTGGTATTTCACAGAATTAATCTAGATTTCCCTTATAAACCATTGTTATTTCACACCTTAAATTCTTTGGTTCTTTGCTTTATGAATATATATATTCCTTTAACAAACAGCTGAACATGCACAAACCCAACATGTGGTAATTTAGGTTCCAACGCTGATTTAGCAAAGAAACTGTAACTTTAGATTGGGGAAGATATATCCCTGGTTGTGTATGAAAGATATGAAACTGGTCTGCCTGAAATCAGGACAGAAGAAACAACAGACAGAGAAAAACTAGTGAGCAATGAGTAGGACATTCATTCATTTGACTGTAGCCTGTTGTACTGTTGTGGCTTCACAGTAGTAGTGGAGGAAATGCAATCTTGCTTTTCATGATGAGTCAAGCTTTGGGTTCCTTGTTTCCAGCAGGTTTTACCATCTGCTCCTAGTCGCACCACTCCACTGGCCACCAGCTGCAAGGCAATGGGAAAGACTCGGCACTCTGCTTCTTTCACCCTTTCCAACAAGGTCTCCTCGGTATCATCTGTGTTCACAGAGATGGGCTCCTGGAGAATAATTGCTCCTGTATTCGCTTCCTCCTAAGTGGGAGATATTTATAAATCTGTTGTTAGGAGAAGATGGCTGACAGCATCCAAAGTAGCAGAAAGGTCTAGGTGGAGGGTGTGGATGGTGTAGAGGCCTTGAGATTTGACCAAGAAGAGGTCACTAGGGACCTTAGTGAGAACATTTTCAGTAGTGTGGAGATGGGAGAAGGCAGACTGAAGGGATGGAGGAGAAGGATTCATTGCATCAGTTGCAGACCACACATTCGATGAGTGGGAATAAAAGGGACAGATGGGGGGTTATGTCGGAGATGTAAAAAGATAGTTGATGGATAGTTTTTCAGGATAGAAAAGACTGGGACAAGCCTCTATTGTGAAGGGAAGGAGGGTGAGGGAGGGAATGAGAACAGGGCAATAGAAATAAGGCGATAGAAAGGGATGGATCACGTGGGAAGGGCATCAGTGGGATTATTCACATGCATAGGGTAAAGCATGCATTGGGTCTTTAATGGACTGGGGCCCATTTTTGCACATTCCTATTCATAAGCTAATCTTCCTACAGAAATTTAACTTCTAACTCTTCCTATTTTATTGGTAATAATTCCAGTATTTCCAGGTACAAGTTCATTACACTGATATTATCTGGAGAACATTTATGGATTTGTTATTGTGATACAATAATCATTTGCCTAGAGTTAGAATAATTCTGAGAGGCAGAACAATACTTACAAGTACAAAATGTACTGTACAGCCAGTGACTTTGACTCCTGGTTGTAGCACCTGCTTATGGGCATTTCCCCCTCTGACTGAAGGTAATAGTGATGGACAAATGTTCAAAATTTTACCTAAAAATCATTAAAAAAATAGAACATTTAAGCTGAAGTTCTTTTAAAATAAAAAACATAGATGATAGTCCATTAATAAAATATTTGTCAGCAAGAGCTCATAACACTAGGTGTCATTCAACAAGCTGGAAGGCTCCAAACAGCAATCAGAACTTACTAAGGTGCACAAGGGTTAAAATGCAAAAGCAGAGATGGTGGGGCTAGGCTCTGAGGAAATACTACATTTCCAGGGCCAAGGATAGCGAAGTACAGCTGCTGCTTCAAGCCAAGCAAAATGAGGTTTGAGATAAAGGCAAGACAGTCACTTGTCCTCCATCGCCACAGATAGGAGGAAGGGGTCAGAAGGTTCCTTCTACCCCCTAAGTTGCATACCCAGCTCACAACTCTGTGCATAAGGGGAGCTGGGAAAGAGAGAGACCGCTCTGCAGAGTTGCTATTGTGCCAGTGCAGAGACAGCAGATGGGAAAGTGTGACATAGATCACTCCTCGGCGGGGGCGGGAGGAGATGTCTGAATAAGGTCTGAATAAAAAGTGAGTAACCTCTCACTGAGGCCTCAGGAATTGGACTGTTGTTAACAGGATAGAGGGTTCAATGGCTAGGGAGTATGCACTCCCAGCCTCTGCTGGGCAGAGGGGTCTGTGACTGGAACCTTGGTCTCTATGGGTACATCTCCACTGCAATGAGAACCCCATGGAACTGAGTCTCAGAGTCTGGATCAACTGATTCGGGATCGTGGGCCTAAAAATAGCAGAGTAGACTTTCAGGCTCAGGCTGGAGCCCAGGCTCCGAAAACCCCCGAGGACGAAGGTCTCAGAGCCCGGCCTCCAGCCCAAGCCCAAACATCTACAATGCAATTTTTTGCCCCATAGCCCGAGTCAGATGACGTAGGCCGTGTATATATACCCTGTGGGTCAGACTCTAATAGCCTTATTCACTCTAGGCTCCATCATGGTTTTACCTCAAGCCCAGAGTAAGGGGCAGTGCACTGTTGTGCTGCTCATAGAGCAGCCCAGGAGGGACTTGAGAATTCACAGTCTCACTCCCAGTTCCCCTGCTACTCTTGGCAAAGAGTCTATACCCAGCACAGCATGTGCCCTTTGGCACACTGGCACAGCTATGCCACCAGGTGCATTGCAGTGAACAGAACCAACCCTCCATCTGCTCCCCAGCCCTTTTCACCCACCTTCCTTCCTCTTTGCCCCTCTGCTATCCCAATACCCAGGGCACAATTTAGCTCTTTGGGTAATATCTTACCCTTCGCATAGCCCCATTGATTCGAGTGAATGAATTACATGAATGAAAGCATAAGATACTCCCTACTGATTTAAATACAACGGTATGCAGAAGACGGTGCTACTCAATATGACAAAAGGTGTTAGAATCTTGCCCTGTAGTGGTAATGCCATGTGCTACTGGATAGGCCCCAAGGCTCCTGAATGGGCCCCAAGTATTGATATTTTTCATGCCTCTTTTACAGCTATTGATAACAATTATTTATTCTGGTTTCTTACCATTCCACTTTCTGATAAAAGCACTGGACAAAATTCTCATAAATCCTGCGAGACAGATCAGTTCAACAGAGAATTCTTCAAGGACTCTGTCAATTGTGCAGTCAAATTCAGAGCGGCTTCCATACAATTTATGGTCAACTACCTAAAATATTAAAACAACCAAAGCCAAAACACTAAAAGTGACTCAGTGTGTAAGAATGAGGGTAACTACTTGGAGAACAAAGGAAAATCAAAATAGGCCCATGCCAAAATATACCAGTATTTTTAAAAAGTAATTATAGCCTTGCTAGTGCTCACGTGTATTATCAATCGGTGTTTGCAATTCACAGAATCATACGAAGCAGAAATGGGAAAGATCTATAGCATCATCTAAGTTTACCTGCCAGCCAGTGCAGCAGTATTCCTTAAAAGGGTGTTTTCTAGTGATTTTTTCATGTGAGAAGATATGATTGACAAAGTTCTTACTCCTATCCTGAATCCAGATGCACATGAAGAATGCATTTAAAGTGAATGGATTTACTTTAAAACAATATGGTTTCACCAAAAGCAGCACCATCATTTTACAGTCATTGACTTGTGCAACAGGGAGTTTATTTTAAAAGACACTGGACTGATCAGACATGGTGTGTAAGATGAGCAAAGTTCTTGTTCTTCCTACTACAGATCAAAACCCAGATACCCAGGGGAAGTGTTTCAATTCCATTAAAGACGACTTTCAACAATGTAGGTGATGGAGCAGTGTTCCTCGTCCTCATGAAAATCTTTTGAAGGCCCTTAACACACGTTTTTCAGATATGAGCCTATATACTGCTGGAGAAAATTTAAGGTGCCTCCCGTTTAACAGTTTGGGGGAGCTAGCTCAAACTTTCAGATGCATGGGAGAACCACTAAATGCTACTATGTCCTTCATTACTGTCTGAGCGGGGAACACGGGGGGTGAATGGGAGTGGGGTCCCCACGGGGCAGTCAGGAAGGAGAAGAGGGATTGGATGGGGCGGCGGGGGGCAGTCAGGGGCGGGGTGTCCGGGGGCGGTCCAGGAGAAGGGGTGGTTGGATGGGGCAGGAGTCCTGGGGGGGTGTCAGGAAGGAGGGGAGGGTTGATGGGGCAGGGGGCCTGGGGGCAGGTGGGGGACAGAGAGCGGGGGGGGGGGTGGATGGGGCAGGGATCTCCAGGGGGCCATCAGGGAATGGGGGGGGGTTGGATGGGCAGGAGTCCTGGGGGAGCCATCAGGAGGCGAAAAACGGGGGGGAAGGGAGGTCGGATAGCGGTTGGGGGCCGGGCCACGCCTGGCTGTTTGGGGAGGCACAGCCTCCCCTAACCAGCCCTCCATACAATTTCAGAAACCCAATGCGGCCCTCAAGCCAAAAAGTTTGCCCGCCTCTGCTGTAGATCAGCTTTCTACTTAATCTGAATAACAACAACAGAATCAGACTCACTTTGCTATTGAAAGTAATTGGGGATGGTGTGAGAGATAGGAGGTCTTCTTATGCAGATATTCACTACATGCTCAAGAAGCGGATGGATAAATGCAGCATAGGAGAGGAAAGTGTGCCCATGCAGTCCAAAAAAAATGATGTTTTATTGATTTCTTCTTCCTCTTTTCAGTTAAAGGTGTACGCTGCATGGGGCTCAGCAAAGCAAGCACACATCTAAAGTCCCATTGATTTCAATGCACACACTTCAATCCTTCACTGAATTGGGGCCCTAATGCCCATTGAAGTTAATGGAAAGATTTCCATTGATTTCAATGAGCATTGGATCAGGTCCTACATGATTTTGGATTTGATCTTAGCTATCTGATGCCATTGTTTTATACTTTTAGCTAACAACTTAACATAAAAAGTTTAAATAAATGTGGGTCCAGAATTATTAGTGAAAACTTGTTCCAGATTTGTAAAAGCAGTAGCTGTTTCTCTGGTGACTGAAAGGAAATGGATGTCCTTACCCTGGTGGGAATCCCAGCCCGGGCTGCATTTCTCAATTCTTCCACGTCTCCAGACTTGTTAGAGATGACAAGAACTATCTGTGCACAGCTTGCTGGTTCTTTTGCATATGTGATAAGTGCCGCAAGGTTTGTACCTCAAATTAAAAGAGAAGAACAAGTGGTCTTATAAACAGGAGGCTGAAGACTTTACTCACTTTGTGAATTAACTAATGTTCTCTGAGATGCATATCCCTATGGGTGCTCCACTTCTGGGGCGCATGCGCCTCTTGACCCCTTGATCAGAGATTTCCATTAGCAGCATCCATTTGGCCCACACACATGCCCTATGCTTCTTCGTGCCATGCACTGAAGCTATATGGGGTTGCACGGGCAAACCACCCTCAGTTCCTTCTGCACCCAAATGTCCCATATGGAACAGTCCGAAGCAGAGGAGGAAGAGGGCGGGTAGTGGAGCACCGATAGGGGGACACATCTTGAAGAACTGCAGTTACTGCACAAAGTGAGTAACCTCTTCTTCAAGCAGTCTCCCTATGGGTTCTCCACTTCAGGTGATTTCCAAGCCGTAACTCCAGTGGGAAGAGGGAGCTTCGGCACGGACTGAAGATATTACTATAGTACCAAGTGCCACGTCAGCTCTGACAGCATGGATTAGAGCATAATGTTTTAAAAAAAATGTATGTACTGAAGCCCGTGTAGCAGCCCTACATATCTCAGATATTGGCATGTTCTTAAGTAACGCTTTGGATGTTGCTTATTCTCTGGTTGAATGTGCTATCACTAAGGCTGCGAGTTTGTCATGGAGGTCATGGATGCCGTGACTTTCCGGGACCTCCATGACTTCTGCAGCAGCCAGTGCAGCTCAGGCAGCCCCTGGACTAGTTGCACTGGCCAATGCTGGGGCAGTCGAGGGCCACCACGCCTCCCTCCCCCAGCAGCAGGAGTTTGGGCGTGGGAGGGGGCTCAGGTGCTGGGGGTTGGGTCACGGGAGGGGGTGAGGGCTCTGGGCGCCACTTACCTTGGGGCACTCCCCGGAAGCAGGGATATCGCTCAGCTCCTAGGCAGAAGCGCGGCCAGGCGGCTCTGCGTGCTGCCTTTGCCTGCAGGCGCCTCCCCTGCAGCTCCCACTGGCCATGATTCCCAGGCAATGGGAGCTGCGGAGCCAGCACACAGGGCAGAGGCAGCGCACAGAGCCCCCAGGCCGCCCCCCCCCCCCAAGATTTAGTCAGGGGTATATAGTACAAGTCATGGACAGGTCATGGGCCATGAATTTTTGTTTACTGCCTGTGACTTGTCCACGACTTTTACTAAAAATACCCATGACTAAAATGTAGCCTTAGCTATCACTCTTTGGGTGATGAATGCCTGCAGCATCATAACAAGCAATAATACAACCAGCTTTCCTTTTGGGGGCTCCAAAATTGGCATAGGCATTGTACCACGCCCTGAACAACAAGTGACCAGAAGAGCTCAGCCACATTAATGGGCAAAGCCTGGCCACTCTTGCAACCTAGGGAAAGCTCACTACAAAGTACATAGAGTCCAGCTGCAGATGTGCACAAGGAAAGAGTATGGGGGGCAGGAGGCACTGATGTTATACAGATTACTCCAACAACTATGCTCTATTATTTAAGGGGAGGATTCACCCCCTTCTCCCATGCCTAGCCAAGTTACTGAGCGAGGGCTCTGGGGATAACATCTGCTCCTAAATAAACAACAGTTAGGAGTGTTCTAGGTTGGCTGTTATTGCACAATGCCTTGTTTTCTTAATATTTTTGGCAACCTGTTTTGAACCCCTGTTTTCAAAGAGCTTTGAGTCCTTTTCATGTTCTCCTATATTTCACCCCTCTGTAATGCTACACAGTCTGGAATTTCCATTACATGGAGAAATCTTGCCAACCACGTTATTCCCTTTTACTACTTTATATAATTTTTAATATTTTTCTATTTTTATACGTGAAATGTGTGTTAAGGATGAGTGCCAGGTAGAAAGCCTTCAAGACCAACGTCTTGTTTATCCATACAACAGGAATACCACAGCCGTAGCCAGTATAAGCTTCCCCCCACTACTGTAGCAACATGTTTCAGACATGACCTGCCTGGAGGGAGCCCCTCTGGGGTGCAAGCACAGTTCAGTCTCCGTGTGTATTCAATCCCTGGCCTCTTTTGAGGGCTTGTCTAGACTTGAAACGCTACAGTGGCACAGTTGTACTGCTGTAGTGCTTCAGTGTAGACACTACAGCGACAGGAGGGGTTCTCCCATCACTTTAGTTAATTCACCTCCCCAAGAGGCAGTTGCTAAGTTGATGGAAGAGTTCTTCCATTGACCTAGCACTGTCTACACTAGGGGTTAGATTGGCTTAAACTACATCGCTCAAGGGTGTGGATTTTTTTCACCTCTGAGCGACATAGCTGGGTTCATCTAATTTTCTAGTGTAGACCAGCCCTGAGAGTGACAGTAGGGGGACCAGCTATAGTGCCAGTTGTGGTGGTGGTGGTGGTTTCTGTCCACTGAAAATCAGACAGAGCACTACTTCAGTTCACCAAACAGCCATTAGATAATAATTTGTGGTCACTACTGACATGGTGTTGTTTGATTTGGCAAGGTAGCGACAATGTGTTACCATCACCTGAGCGATCTAATCCTCGTATGTTTCATCAAAGTATTTGGATGCATTAAAATACTATCTGCTTTAACAAGCACTCGAATGGAAAAGGACTAAAGAATTTGTGGATTAGCAGTATGCAACGGTCAGTTGCCTCTCGCATGCCCCCTTGTAGTCAAGGGTGGCTCTGTGGTCCCCTGCCTCAGTTTCCCCTCTTCAATACTCAATAACTCAAAAAAGAGACTCTCACAAGTCCAGTAACAGCCCTTCCTGGGATCTGGTTTTATTAACAATGTTCCAAACAAACACAAAAGTCTTCCATTGAGCCTTAAGCTGTGCCCCTCCTCCCCAAGGTACTGTCTCTTCCTTTGTCCTTGGAGACAATGGAGAAGACAAGGCCTGGCCTGCCTTTTTGGCCTTCTCCCAAAAAAGAAAACAAATCTTCCAGCTGGGTCTTTCTACCCAGCCCCAAGTTCCTTCCTCAGGGACCACTGCAGGAGACTTCTCTTCTTGTAGATTCACTCTGCAGTCCCCCATTGGCTGTCCACACCCGCATGGCCCCACAGTATGCCAACATTTTTATGGCTGACTTAGAACAACACTTCCTCAGCTCTCGTCCCCTAGTGCCCCTCCTCTACTTGCGCTACATTGATGACATCTTCATCATATGGACCCACGGAAAGGAGGCCCTTGAAGAATTCCACCTGGACTTCAACAATTTCCACCCCACCATCAACCTCAGCCTGGACCAGTCCACACAAGAGATCCACTTCCTGGACACTACAGTGCAAAGGCTCTTATAAGTGATGGTCACATAAACACCACCCTATACCAGAAACCTACTGACCACTGTACATACCTACATGCCTCCAGCTTCCATCCAAGACACATCACACGATCCATTGTCTACAGCCAAGCCCTAAGATACAACCAAATTTGCTCCAACCCCTCAGACAGAGACAAACACCT